TCAGAGACTGTGGATATGTCAGATGTTATGGATATGTCAGATACTGTGGATATGTCAGATGCTATGGATATGTCAGACTGTGGATATGTCAGATGCTATGGATATGTCAAAGACTGTGGATACGTCAGATGCTATGGATATGTCAAAGACTGTGGATATGTCAGATGCTATGGTTATGTCAGAGACTGTGGATATGTCAGATGTTATGGATATGTCAGAGACTGTGGATATGTCAGATGTTATGGATATGTCAGAGACTGTGGATATGTCAGATGTTATGGATATGTCAGAGACTGTGGATATGTCAGATACTGTGGATATGTCAGATGCTATGGATATGTCAGAGACTGTGGATATGTCAGATGCTATGGATATGTCAAAGACTGTGGATATATCAGATGTTGTGGATATGTCAAAGACTGGATATGTCAGATCCTATGGATATGTCAGATACTGTGGATATGTCAGATGTTGTGGATATGTCAAAGACTGTGGATATATCAGATGCTATGGATATGTCAGATACTGTGGATATGTCAGATGCTATGGATATGTCAGATGCTATGGTTATGTCAGAGACTGTGGATATGTCAGATGTTATGGATAAGTCAGATGCTATGGATATGTCAGATATTATGGATATGTCAGATGTTATGGATATGTCAGAGACTGTGGATATGTCAGATGCTGTGGATATGTCAGAGACTGTGGATATGTCAGAGACTGGATGTCAGATACTGTGGATATGTCAGAGACTGTGGATATGTCAGATGTTATGGATATGTCAGATGCTATGGATATGTCAGATACTGTGGATATGTCAGAGACTGTGGATATGTCAGATGTTATGGATATGTCAGATGCTGTGGATATGTCAGAGACTGTGGATATGTCAGAGACTGGATATGTCAGAGACTGTGGATATGTCAGATGTTATGGATATGTCAGATGTTATGGATATGTCAGATGCTGTGTATATGTCAGAGACGTTGGATATGTCAGAGACATTGGATATGTCAGATACTGTGGATATGTCAGATACTGTGGATATGTCAGATGCTATGGATATGTCAGAGACTGTGGATATGTCAGAGACTGTGGATATGTCAGAGACTGGATATGTCAGAGACTGTGGATATGTCAGAGACTGGATATGTCAGATACTGTGGATATGTCAGAGACTGTGGATATGTCAGAGGCTGTGGATATGTCAGAGACTGTGGATATGTCAGATGCTATAGATATGTCAGATGTTATGGATAAGTCAGATGCTATGGATATGTCAGATGTTATGGATATGTCAGAGACACTCAGCACACTCCACTCAAGTACAACCAAGTACAACCAAGTACCAGTCCACAGAACTATGTTAAAGGCTCCCAAGTGCCAGCAGAAGAAAGTTATCACCAGTGCTACCTGAAGGTAAAGACACTTGGGAATATAGAAAAGACTCAAAACCTCTTCAGACAAATATCAATTATGGTCTTGAAACATCTTAAACTGCTGCCAAATGTTCCTCCAAGATAGCACACAGGCATCAGTAAGTGTTCTTGAAGGAGAACCAAGTAGCAGGCAATAAACCCACACCAACATGTGAACACAGGGCTAAAAAGTCACTGAAGGATCGCCTCTTGCTATGGAAAAAATAAACATTCACAAGTACCCTCAAGCCTTAGCCAACGTTCCCCACAGTGAAGTGTTGCCAATATCAAGCCAAATCTCACAACCAAGTCCAAACACAAGGCATTACAGAACACATGTCTATATTCAGAGAAACACAATATATATTCATAGCATTTTCTGTTTAATACAAACAGACAAAAACATTTCCTCACATATTTCCATCAGCAATATCTGTCAAGAAAGACTAAGATATGCCATATGTAGATGTCTACTTCTGAATGATAGCACCACTAGATCAGCAATACGTCCATGAATTGTAGATACTGGGGATTTATGTCTATTTCTGAGGGAAAGACATGCATATTTCACGTGGATATCAGCAGATGTCATCTAAGTGTCTCCAGATGAACATTTCTTGAGCTGCAACTGCTAACCTACATTCATCTCATGTTCTGTGATCATTATTCCACAGACACTAGTTGTTAGGGACACGGTACGCACTAGGAGTATTCAATCAGTGATTAGGAGTGTGGTGACACTGCTGGGTAACATTCAATCAGTGCCATTAGTATAGATCTAACTGCACTTCCTAGGTGTTACAGAATGCTTACAGAGTTATGGAACCAACACTACCCTATCTGTTAATACTTCATTGAAATAAATGTCTCAACACGTCCTGGACGCCACGTTACTGTTTCTTAGAGTTGAACTATTTTTCACATACAAAAAATAAATGTTTTAGAACACAACATGTGACGAAGACTTGGTACTGCAACATCTTCCTCACATTTCACGTGGACTAAGGGACAAGCCATTTCATATTCTGGGAGGGGCCTGGGAATTTATTGGAAAAACAATTTCCCGAAAATAATATTTGTAATAATAACTGCTGACTAAAAATTAAATTTATGTAATTCCTTACACCTGATAGTGATGCTGTTCATTTCAGGGTAAAATGTGACAGTGCTAATATTCATTGAGAGGAACAATCCTGAAATGTTGATGTCGCTGGATGGTGAACAAGCAGACCTGTTTTCCCTCCTCCCCCACAACACACCCTCGATCACAACTAAAGTTGAGGAATTAAATTTTTATTGAACTCGAAAATCTGAAGAATGTGAGCTTCAAACAAAACCTGTTCCTGTGTCAATAGTTCTACATCTCGAAAGCAGGTGGTATGTTGCTGAAACAATACCTTGAACCTACACCCAATACAGCCAGGCAAAGAAACTTCCAATCTACACAATGGTGATCAGGGTTCTCCAGATCAAACTAAGCCTTTATCATTGATGTCATATTTCAAATTAGTTTTCCAAACTGATAACACAGACATTCTTGAACTTCATGCAAACAAGTCATGTCTTAATCCATCCAACGATTATGATCTATCACAGAGACTATCTCCATTCCTCAACTCCCAGCAGCGACCTCTCAGTGCCACACAATGATTCCTGCCCTCCCATTGATGGATGTGAAGTTGCAGTGTTGAAAGTGCAAAAATATACATCACGATCTGTTATCCCCATTTCGATCTACGTTTTATCCCAACTCCTGGTCATTTCCATCAAAACTCATTTCTCACCCCAGTGCCATCGTGTGAAAAAAGAAAACTGCTTCAACGTGAAAAATCTATTCAAATTTTACGATAACAGAAAGACTTTTTACGACCTTGGTTCTGCCAGTCTTTAATAGCATCTTGTTTGTCCTCCTCGCCTCAAGAGGTTACCAAGGTCTGCCAACCGTGATACAAATGCATGATCAATTTTTATATACCTTCAACACCGAATACCCTCGTCATGAGATTAGCTGGGGGGGGAGAAACAAAGTAGAGCTATTAATCGAGTTGAATCACTATGTTTCATCGCTTTTTAGTGAATTTTTAGAAGCAATGGGAAAAATTTCCACATTTTGACTTCAAAGACCATGTTTTTCTGCTTGAAATACATATTGAGCAAGCTTGGTGATAGAGTTAGCAATAAAAGATCTCTCCATATGATTCAACAGCACTGAGTGCAATTACTTAACAACCGAATGGAGATATTGGTTTGGCGATTTTAGGGAATTGCAAAGAGAAGAATTGAAAATACATGTTGATCTGACAAAAAGAGGAATGCAGCTAATATTTGGCATATACATCAATTTATTCAACTCATAATGTTAGCTTAATGACACACGGCAAGCTGCTTGTACAACACGGCTTGGAGAAATATCTAGACGATAAGGAAGATTGATGAATGGATTGAGAAATAATGCATTTCATGCTGAAGGAGGATATATGACGATGAATGTGAAATTTGCATGCTGACTCACACGTTTATAAGCAGATAAGATTTTGCCTCGAAAATACGTTTTCTGTCCGATATCTGTATTTCTAAACTACCCTAGTGGTACAGCACGTCTCACCTAGGCAGCATATATGTCAGGTTGGGAGCTGAGCACTTAGGTCTCACTTATGTCCTGATGAAAAAAACCATCTTCGTCTTCTGTTATTGAGTTACGAGAACCTGGAGCTATTTTCCGTATCTGTCAGTACCCAGTGCGATGTGAAATAGGATTTTGATATTTATTTCCTTCAAGATACTCTGCTTGGATTAGTTAGGGGCTTGGGGCGCTGGGATGATAAAACAAGACATTTTTCTAATACAATCTGATTACCTCGGTAGATGCAATCATGGAGGATTTAACTTCGTTTCTGGCCACTTTGGCCATCACATGTATTGTCCCCCTGCAGACACCACGGCACGGGCTGGAGTGGGTTCAGTCCAGTGTTTTCAGGGACAATAACTAAAGTGTTAGAGCCACTGGGACATTTACATCACAAATACCATGTAATGCTCTGGAATGGAACAATAAAAAAAACTGAAAAAATGAGATAAAGAATAATCAATGAAAAAACACCAGAGATTTGAATGCATCTTAAATGGTTGAATTCACACTTATCATAAAAACATGATTTACTTTTATAAATCAAACTTGATGGTACTTAATGACAGAAATAATAAAACAGCTTCTCATAAAGCTCTAAACTCCATACTTTTGTATGCTCGGGGGGGGGCTCAGCTTCCTGGGGAGTATACAACCCAAGCTGCCATTGAGGAGCGAGAAGGTTAACAGTCACATTACCATCTCATCATACTGGGTACCTTTCACTGCTGGGTGAGCAGAGGCACATTTAAAAACATCCCTTGCCTAAATAACATTTTGAATGAGGTTCAAGGCCCCTGTTTGTATCCCAACAGGGGCAGCACAATGTGTGAAGCCTAATGACGGTTTAACAGGCTCTGGTATTGCTGGAATATTGTAAAAACAATGCTCACTCATTAACACATCTATTATTGACATGGAATTGCACTTTGGACAATTCCACTTAAACACCTTCACATGCTGGAGGTGGAGGGGGGAGGGGGGAGGGGGGTGTATGAGGGGATGGAAGGGGAGGAGGGATGGTGGAGAAGGGGGAAGGAAGAGGAGGGTGGGAAGGAGGGGGAGGGGGAAGAGGGGTGGTGGAGAAAGTGGAGGGGGAGGAGGGAGGGTGGAGAAGGGTGGAGGAGGGGGAGGGGAGGAGGGGTGGTGGAGAAAGGGGAGGGGGAGGAGGGAGGGTGGAGAAGGATGGAGGAGTGGTGTATGAGGGGGTGGAGAAAGGGGAGGGGGAGGAGGGGTGGTGGAGAAAGGGGAGGGGGAGGAGGGAGGGTGGAGAAGGATGGAGGAGTGGTGTATGAGGGGGTGGAGAAAGGGGAGGGGGAGGAGGGAGGGTGGAGAAGGGTGGGAAGGAGGGGTAGGGGAGGAGGGGTGGTGGAGAAAGTGGAGGGGGAGGAGGCAGGGTGGAAAAGAGTGGAGGAGGGTGGGAAGGAGGGGGAGGGGAGGTGGAGAAAGGGGAGGGGGAAGGAGGGGGAGGGGAGGAGGGGTGGTGGAGAAAGGGGAGGGGGAGGAGGGAGGGTGGAGAAGGATGGAGGAGTGGTGTATGAGGGATGGAGGAAGGGGTGGAGGAGGGTTGGAAGGAGGGGGAGGGGAGGAGGGATGGTGGAGAAAGGGGAGGGGGAGGAGGGAGGGTGGAGGAGGGTAGGAAGGAGGGAAGGGGAGGAGGGAGGGTGGAGAAAGGGGAGGGGGTGGAGGAAGTGGAGGAAGGGGTGGAGGAGGGTGGAAAGGAGGGGGAGGGGAGGAGGGGTGGTGGAGAAGGGAGAGGGGAGGAGGGAGGGTGGAGGAGGGTAGGAAGGAGGGCAGGGGAGGAGGGAGGGTGGAGAAAGGGGAGGGGGTGGAGGAAGTGGAGGAAGGGGTGGAGGAGGGTGGAAAGGAGGGGGAGGGGAGGAGGGGTGGTGGAGAAGGGGAGAGGAGGATGGGTTGTGGAGAAGGGGAGGGGAGGATGGATGGTGGAGAAGGGGGAGGAGGAGGAGGGTGTATGAGGGGGTGCAGAAGGGGTGGTGGAGAAGGGGGGGAAGAGGGGTGTAGGAGGGGGAGGAGGGGTTGTGGATAAGGGGGAGGCGGAGGAAGGTGGGAAGGAGGGGGAGGAGGGAGTAGGAGAGGGGTGTATGAAGGGGGAGGAGAAAGGGTGGTGGAGAAGGAGGAGGAGGGGGGGAGGAGGGGGAAGAGGAGGAGTGGTGTATGAGGGAGGTGGAGAAAGGGGTGGAAGAGGGGGAGGAGAGAAGGGGGAGTGAGTCGAGGGAAAGGATCTTACTTTGGTACATGGTGTCAAAGAAGCTATAGAAATACCTGCAAGGCACCACCAATCAGAACAACTGGCATAAATCCATCACCATGTGGTCTGGTTTGGGGGGATATTGTACCCACCTGACTTTAATGAAAGTAAGTAACAGTTTACTGTACATCTCATGAAAGCAAATTAAACTTCAATTATCAATTCTAGAAGCTCCAGCCACCATGTTTATTTTAAAACTGCCTACATAAATTAAGCTAAATATTATCCCTGTAGCAAAAAAAATAAATCAATGGGCCAAAAATTTCCCTGCAACATTTATCTCGCCAAAAGTCTGTTCTGACTATCCCCTCTTTCAATAAAGATTCATCTCAAGGAAGGTAATTCTCCGCCTGTCATACTTGATGAAGTGAAGACAACAGTTTTGTTCCAAACTATCACCTTTTCCACATCTGGGGCCTCTAATTTTCACGTTTTTCAGCCTTCATTCCCTATCAACCAACAGACACACCATCAAGGAAACTAACTCTGCCAAGCTGAAAACACAGTTCAACATTTGTAAACCCTCTATTACTCAAGTCAGCATCTTGTTATTGCTCCCGCCACCACAAAACTCCAAAATATTCACACCCATTCCCAAAGGTGGTTAAAAAATACTGCTAATGGGACAACTGCTTGCATAGATCAGTCTAAACTAATTTCCTACCAACTCATTTACAATTAGTGGTAGACTCATATACAAAATTAATTCTGAATTTTCATCTCTGATATCTCAGTGTGTGTCAACCGTGATAAATAGCTGCTGCTTGCAAGATGACATTCTCCAGATATGTTTCCCATGCAAGTTGCAACCTGCCCACATGCTGTCACAGATGAAGTTATACACAGTCAAAACTTCAAAAGTGTTGATCTTTCTTAGTCTGTAATGCTGCAAAAGAGCAGCAGGGCAAACAAGATGGAGATTTGCAATTTCAAACATCACATGCATGTTTCCATGACATTTCATTGTCGTTATCAACGTCTTTTGGTGGTTCAAAGGGTATATAATCAATGCTCATCTTGAATCAATGGAATCTTACATGAGCCAAATTACTTACTTGTTATTTTATTCCACAACCCCAGGGCAATATGAACGTGATCCGTCTCATGTGAGCATCATTATACAAAGTTCAATATCATTTCTGTGAATCCCAAGTTCTTTTTCAATCCCCAATCTCCAGACAAGTATTCGCGGACATATATGAACCAATGGGTATGGGCCTAATGCAATTCAAATTTGACGTCTCTGAGTGACAGGTGATTACTTGGGAAAAAACATGCTGGGTCTTAGCCGTAAAATGTCGCAGAATTTGTGACAGGTAATCTTGAGATTCTTTACCGTTTATTTGTAACCCAAGTCTCCACTCGACAGCCTGAGTACTCTTCAAACGAGGAGATCAATAAGCAGTACCGCTCTGTCGCAGGTCCGTCACAAAACCCTGGAATCTAGACGATCAGAATCAATGGTGCTACTCACGTGACAACTAATCTTCACCTTTTATAATTCAGTTGCAAAACAGATGCATGTCTAACTCAAATGTCAGCTGACAGACACACTATTAAGATCAGTTGTAAGGAAAGTGCTATTTCTGTTTTAAATCTAAGAAACATCCATCTTGTTTTATGGAATGCAGCAATGTTTTGATATGTATTGCTCCCTAGGGCAGCAACTGAATTGCTGTATACATTTTCACACAAAAAATAAGTGCTGTTTTCAGATGGATTACAAAATCAGTTGACAGATTTCGTTTTCAGAAAAACGATTCTTCAATCAAAGTCTACTCCTTTAAAGGATCCATTAAAGTTTGATTGGCAGTCCTCAATGCAAGATCTCTGGAGAAATCTGTTATCTGTTGACAGACACGATAAATTTTGTATTTGACACAATATCAATACAAGGAAACACATCTTACACTCTTCTCTTTTATCAATAGATGCTGCAGCAGATATTCCACTTATTAGGGTTCCAAATCAGTTGTAAACCCGAAACATTGTTGTACATGGCTTGCTTTCCTGTACAATATCTATTTTCCCTCTTAAAAAATTACCGTTGTTGAAAGAACTTACTTTCACAAGCATATAATCATCTTCCATATATCCGCCATGTTATAGATTTTCTAGTACAGCTTTCTTAACAACTAATGATCTCTACTCTACAAATTACTGCTAGGATATAGGCTAGTTAATACTGATTTCCTGAAGACTAATGATCACTTCTAATCATGTAACTAATCATATTTTGTGCAGAGTACATCAGAGCATTGAGAGCATCCAGATCTTTAGGTGCCTTTTTCCAAGCCACTCATTTTCAGAGCCTATTGCAGAACTGTATGAAAGTAACAGAAAGATTTATTTCTAGATTTTCATAAAACTGGTTGCTTTTACTTTCTCAATGGACAACTATCATATATGTGTGGTACAGTATGGAAACCTGAATTAGATGTAGGAGTTCTCTGCGCTATACAGGTTTCCACAAAACTGACAATATATACTTTCATTCATTCAAACATCGTGTTGACCAATCACATTAAAGATGGAAAATACTGAAACAGCTTTTCTTAATGCATGATGCCAATGGATAATTAACTCTCCCAACCTTTGCAAGGAGAGTTTTGAAATTTTTTTAATCAACATTTCTTTAACCAACAAACAAAAATACACACTGATAAAGCTCATGAGTCATGTGTAGTTCCAATCAAACCTTTTAACATCCACAACCATCAATGTTGAATGTTTCACACAAAAAAGAAGCTTCTCATACGAGGCGAGACAATCAAATACTATCTCCCTCCAGACTAAATCAGTACTGAAGATTTGGAAACATATTTCCCTGATGACTACTAATTACAACACCTTGGATGCAGACTAAACTTCAAAGGAGACCTGTCGTGTCTCAGTTCAGTGCACGATAGAACGTAAGTATTTTATTGCTTCAGGCTGCATGCTTAACTACCCGAGTGTGTCTATTTATTGCACCCTTAACACTTGATACGCAATCACTAGCGTAAAGAACAGTGTCTGTTTAACAGGCCAGAAAATTGTCCACTTAGGAATTTATGATGTGTATTTAGTTAAATTTTGATAAAATGACAAAACTAGGCACTAAATAATTATTAATTATAGCAAAAACCCTACATCAGCAACAGAAAATACATCATATCAGATTGACGGAGGGCTGTCAAATAGACATAGGAAGGGCAACCTGGTGTCCTTTCACAAAGTCATCAAAATTTATGTCAGTGAAGGGAATAATGACAGCTAAAGGGGAACGACCAGTCTGTGCAACAGAGCTTTTGTAATTGTCAGTTTTCCAGCTATGTTGCTGAGGGTGGGTTGGGGAGTAGAAGGTTTGGGAGTGGGGGGGTTGGAGAGGGGGGTTGGGGAGTGCGGGGTTGTGGAGTGAGGGGTTGGGGAGTGCAGGGTTGGGGAGTGGGGAGTGCGGGGTTGGGGAGTGGGGAGTTGGGGAGTGTGGAGTTGGGGAGTGGGGTGTCGAGGAGCGGGGTGTTGGAGAGTGTGGGGTTGGGGAGTGCGGGGTTGTGGAGTGAGGGGTTGGGGAATGCAGGTTTGGGGAGTGGGGAGTGCGGGGTTGGGGAGTGCGGGGTTGGGGAGTGCGGGGTTGTGGAGTGAGGGGTTGGGGAGTGCAGGTTTGGGGAGTGGGGAGTGCAGGGTTGGGGAGTGCGGGGTTGGGGAGTGCAGGTTTGGGGAGTGGGGAGTGCGGGGTTGGGGAGTGCGGGGTTGAGGAGCGGGGGGTTGGGGAGTGGGGGGTTGGGGAGTGGGGGGTTGAGTGGAGTGGTCTAAGGAAACAACTCTGATGAGTGAGTGAACACCTGCACCACCATGCCAACTGAGCATCTTTGTATCTTGAGACAAATGGACATTCTTCCTGTATCAAATCTATTCATCTCCGACACTGAAGTCACTAATCTTCAAGGCCAACACACAGGCTGGATGACCATCCAGACCCTGGTCAGAGCCTTCCTCCCAGAACATTTCAAACATCTGCCCATGATCTCCTGTTAGTTCCTGCCATAAAACCCCAATCTTGCCAGCCTGATCAGGAGCCCATGACTGGATAGCATCTTCCTACAACTCCTTCTAAAACTATTAGACCATGCCAACCTGCTGTAAACCATCACACAAACAAGCCAAACCAATGTGCTGCACACAGTGTACCAAGTCAGCCAGCCAGTCTTTAAGGTTTCAGGTTGGCTGCTATGTTTCTTCAAATCCAACTGACAATGTTCATGGTTGGTGCCTTGGCCAGTCAGTTTTATGTATATATAATGCAAGATTAGCCTCATAGCAGATTGAGGGCAAACATAGTCCCTCAGTAAAATACAATGACAACATAGTCCCTGATTGGCACACAAAGCTAACATAGTCCCTCTGTTAAATACAAAGCTGACATACTCCCTCTGTTAAATACAAAGCTAACATAGTCCCTCTGTTAAATACAAGGCTAACATAGTCCCTCTGTAAAATACAAAGCTGACATAGTCCCTCTGTAAAATACAAAGCTGACATACTCCCTCTGTAAAATACAAAATATATTCTTACCTTCAAGCCCCACGTTTGGTATATCCCGTGTCAGTAATCCGTCTATCTCATCTCTCCCTGTAAAACAACAAAAATCAGCATCATATTTGTTGAGAAGAAGCAGAACGAGTTTGCTCCATCAACATCAGCAAGTTGTATGTTGGGATGGTCACTATCAGCCAATTAGAAAGCTTGTTGCATTCTGAACACATATTTCACGCCCATTGGACAGAATTTACAGCATAATGTTCTTCGATTCAAAGTTTCTACAACTTTGGTTTGTCGGGAATTAATGAAAAAAATCCACAAAATATCGTCATTAAATATCATTGTCAAGTTCAATGAAAGGTATATTTTCGTTTATTTAAGACACTATCATTGAGGTTACAATCATGTGATTACGATTCATTCTTCAACCCATATGCTCTTTGTTTCGACAGTCATTGAAATTCCTTGAAATATGATGGAATATTTCTGTCCTTTGGGTTTCATTGAATTTCACCTCAAAATCCTGTAAGGTTTCCTGCTTCACCGGCATATTCACCACAGGAAATTACCCACAATTCCACGCCAACAAAAAGAAATTCAAGCGTTTAAACAGATCTGCATGAAGTGATTAACATCAATGACATACACACGGCAAAATATTGTATTTCATAATTAAAATTTGAACAATGCAACATTGCCCATGAACCTAGTTAAGATTACTCAATTTTCAAATATGCAGTCATGTGTGAGCCTGCTTTGTAACCGGTGTGTATTGGCACTGAAAGGCCATTGAAAACCATTGGCACAATTTAGTCGAGCCTATCGTCAAAAGGATATGGCATGTTCAAATCGAAAATGTAAATTTGCCCGAAAAATATATTCAGTAACTAGTTTCTCCTATGAACAGTTGTACAGCAGACGGTACGCAAGTGTCCTTATTGAGTATTCTGGTGTCCTAATTACTTCTTTGTCACGGCAAGGATTCTAAGGGAAGGATGATGAATCCCTGGTAGGATTGCTGGATGTTCAATAGAGATGGTCAGCTCCCTCAGAAACCCGAGCTTAGGTCAATGTTTCTTCAGAGTGACCATAGTAGTTTTATTGAGGTCAGTTTGTTGATAATGACTGCCACACAACTAATGTTCTACTACAGCTGACAGAGGGGTATCTGGCTCCCAAATGTGAGAAATCTTTAATACCATGATATGCCTCAGTGCTAAAAGCATTTAAGTCCATCTCAAATTTCATTTAAAAGCTGAAAGCTCTATCGAAATAGAATACTTGAAATGATAGGGTTTTAATGAAATTGATAGATACACAAGTGGGAATTTGTTCTCCCTCAAGTACTATTAGTTCTGTGACATTTAGAAAATGTATCAAATATCTTCAGCTGATGCTGAATTATCATCACAGTAATAAATGATGCAGAACATATCATTACACGCAATATCTCATAAACAATACTGCGGCAGCCATATGCAATTTTGAAAATGGCATGTAAACTTCAACATACACTGATGAATATGACAACAAAAAATGAAATAAAATATAATGAAACGATTTACATGGTCTACATATTGAGGGACCCCCTAAATCTATGGCTTTTGCAATTTTAGCAGCCATAAATTCTAGAGTCCCAAGAAAGGCAATTAAACCATGGATCTTCTGTTCAAAATGACCAAAGAATTTAATTCCTGAAGCAAGCTGATAAGGCAAGGGTGTCATCCAAGGGTACATACTCCCCCCCCTCCAACCACTGTTAGAAGACATGTCCCTACTTCATTGTAGGGTGCTGAGGCTTATGTTGCTCAAATTTGATATAAGCACCACATGCCCAGCACAAGCACCACATGCCCAGCACAAGCACTGCATGCCTAGCACAAGCATCACATGCCCAGCACAAGCATCACATACCCAGCACAAGCACTGCATGCCCAGCACAAGCACCACATGCCCAGCAAAGGCACCACATGCCCAGCACAAGCACCACATGCCCAGCACAAGCACTGCATGCCTAGCACAAGCACCACATGCCCAGCACAAGCACCACATGTAGCACAAGCACCACATGCCCAGCACAAGCACCACATGCCCAGCACAAGCACCACATGTAGCACAAGCACCACATGCCCAGCACAAGCAGCGCATGCCCAGCACAAGCACCACATGCCCAGCACAAGCACTACATGTAGCACAAGCACCACATGCCCAGCACAAGCATCACATACCCAGCACAAGCACCACATGCCCAGCACAAGCACCACATGCCCAGCACAAGCACCACATGCCCAGCACAAGCACCCCATGCCCAGCACAAGCACCACATGCCCAGCACAAGCACCACATGTAGCACAAGCACCACGTGCCCAGCAAAAGCACCACATGCCCAGCACAAGCACCACATGCCCAGCACAAGCACCACATGTAGCACAAGCACCACATGTAGCACAAGCACCACATGCCCAGCACAAGCACCACATGCCCAGCACAAGCACTACATGTAGCACAAGCACCACATGCCCAGCACAAGCATCACATACCCAGCACAAGCACCACATGCCCAGCACAAGCACCACATGCCCAGCACAAGCACCACATGCCCAGCACAAGCACCCCATGCCCAGCACAAGCACCACATGACCAGCACAAGCACCCCATGCCCAGCACAAGCACCCCATGCCCAGCACAAGCACCACATGCCCAGCACAAGCACCCCATGCCCAGCAAAAGCACCACATGCCCAGCACAAGCACCACATGTAGCACAAGCACCACATGCCCAGCACAAGCACCACATGTAGCACAAGCACCACATGCCCAGCACAAGCACCACATGCCCAGCACAAGCACCACATGCCCAGCACAAGCACCCCATGCCCAGCACAGGCACCACATGCCCAGCACAAGCACCACATGCCCAGCACAAGCACCACATGCCCAGCTCAAGCACCACATGCCCAGCACAAGCACCATATGCACAAACATACAACAACTTGTGACGCTATCATCAAATTCTCAAACCCACTCCACAATCTGTCAACAAATTTGATTCAAATGTCCATCATTTACACTTAAAAATGAAATGAATGTCAATTTGTTCTCAAAAGGAGTGATCAAATCCTCCGCAAAATATTGAACTACATTCCTTAAAAATCCAGTGCAAAAATATTTGTTAAAGAAGTAAATAAAGTCTGACATTTTGACATAACCTTGTCACAAGCAGCCTGATAGCAAACAGTTTACAAGAATTATAGACCTAGGCACCCACCCCCAAATCAACAAACGTAAACCTCCAAATGTATTCCGTGGCATGCCACAAGTCGTAAAGCCACTGAAAACCGTACCGCCGATTCTTTGTCACAATAAAATCATGAATGCACGTCACAATTCAATGCCTTGAGAAATCCACAAGCCTTTCACAAAAAGGGAGGATAAAATGGTTCATTTAACCAACTCAATCGGATTTTTTTGTGGAAAATACAGTCTATCGCTTCTTTATCACTGACACACTGCTAAATACGTCGTCTTTATCGAAATGCACAATAGCTGTGAAATGCATTTGAATGGTGTGGAGTTGACAAAGACGGGGTATGTTACGTGTGCCCGTCTTGATAACCCACATGTTACACAATGTGAATAAGTCCGAATCGAGTTTATGTCATGTTTCCAGTATTTTCGATTTCTGTTAATCGTTTCTGGAGCTGGTTTAGAAATCAGTAATGCTACAGATTACACGTTAGCTGATCTTTTCGATAGTCAGGATTTTGTTAGTGGTGTCATTTGGTAGACCATATCTTGATTAAGACGACAAAGGAAGATGTTCAATTAAAGGGACATAATATCTAGGTAAATCTTTAATCAATAAGTACAAAATGTCCAGCTGACATTTTTTAACCATACTTCTGAATATGAAACAAGGACAAGCTAAAACACACCGTACCCCTTCTTGAGAGTGTGACTGACAATGGGCACCAAACATCAGTATAAAAGACAAAAAAGTTTTACATATTGTCTTTTGGAATTGGAACCTTGGTCTTTTGTGGGATGAGCTAATGCTTTAACCACTAAGCTATCCCACTCCCTCAAGTATGAACACAATAACTGATGCTTTGCAAACAGGATTCAAACACTAAACCAGAAAAACAAATTTCATAATAGCTCTGTGGAATATCAATTAATATTTAACTTCATATGTTAGTCATCCTAAAATATTTATTTTAACATAATTACCAAAGTTGACAAGTTTAGACTCGTTGATAAGGATCTTAAGTATCATATTAGTATTATAGGTTCCTATTATGTGATGATACAAGAATCTGCTTAATAAACCATTTGTCATGTAAACGTAATACAATTGCGAGGATTCTGCATCAAGGGACATGACGGGCGATGTTTACCCTGAGCCCCCATTCAGCCATCATAAGCAATTAGTTCAACACAAGAGTTTAGTTGGTGGCAAATATTATGACTGGAGATTGGCCAACAGTAATTTGCCAATCACCCATTCTCAGCTCCCTGGGGAGAGTCCAGCTCCCACTGCTTCATGCGTTTACTCTTGATTGCACAGATATAATGGGTTAACTTCAAGACAGGGAGCAGGGTAAACTCCACACTTGGCCAAACAGTCTTCTTATCAAGCAGTTTTAGATTGTCTGAGGTGAGGTGAATGGGCTTTAACGTTGCATCACGTACAAGATTATTGCACTTTTATAGCGACGTGCATACAAGTGTGTGTGTGTGTGTGTGTGTGTGTGTGTGTGTGTGTGTGTGTGTGTGTGTGTGTGTGTGTGTGTGTGTGTGTGTGTCTGTCTGTGTGTGTGTGTGTCTGTGTGTGTGTGTGTGTCTGTGTGTGTGTCTCACCTGGCTTCTTGAATTTCACAGTACCTCCCTGAAAATAATTGTTTGGAGCCAAAGGTTCTTTAGGACAGAAACAAACTTCAGGGCCTGAAACTGTCAGAACACCATGTGCTTGTCAGAAATGTTTCACATACCTATCTCCTAACTACAAAAGTAAAACCACAGTTTCCAAATTGTACAAATTTTTCCAAAATGTCCATGTTACCTTTCTAAGCCAAGTGCCACACTGACCCT